TTTCTTTTGTAATTCCGAACAGCTTATTACAGGATTTATTACATGCACGATCATAATTATCATGAATTAATTTTAAGAAATCACAATCAGTTTCATCTTCAAGAATTCTTTTTTCAAGAGAGTCAACTTTATTTACTAGCCAATTATTTAGTCCTTTTAGCCTATCATTTTCTTTTTGTAGTTTCTTAGCCTCTTCATACATTTCATTAAATGCTTCTTGCAATGAATCATAATTCACTAAATTTGAAGAGGAACTAGAACTTACATTACTGGATTGAGGATTTTGACTTGCCATTAGACATAGGTTGGCTTCTTCATTATCAGAATTGTCTGTTGATGAAGTGTCATTGTCATCCCATGCTACATAGGCTCTTTTTACATCTGCTGTCCCTTCATGGGTGACTTCAAGAACATCTCACATCTCCTTGGCAGATTTGCATTGGGATACCCTGAAAAACTCATCCATGTTAAGTGCAGAAGTAATTATATTTTTTGCAGTGCAATCATTTTGTACTTTTTTCTTTTCCTCATCATTTAGACTGGACCATTCTTTTTCTGTAATTAAAGGGCCATTAGAAATTACATCCCACACATTTCTATCAATGGATTCAATAAAGATCTTCATCTTAATTTTCCAAAAAGGATAATCTGTTCCACAAAATAGTGGAGGTCTGTTAATAGAAGCCCCCTTAGAAAATGGTAATCTGTTTTCAGCCATGGATCGAAGAAACTTGAATAACTTTCAAGCACCTCGCTCTGATGCTAATTATTGGAAAAGTAGTTTTAGATCAAGAGGGGGGGTGAATTGATCTTTGAAAGTTTTTCGCAAATAACAGATTATCTAATTCGAAAATTAAGTTTACATATCTGTTCTTGAATCTCAAAGCAATCAATCAAAATAATGCAGCAACAGAATTTAAAGGAGAGAAAGGTTAAGAAAGATATCACCGGTATTTTATACTGGTTCACCCAATATCAGGGTTACGTCCAGTCTCCAGCCAAATTCCAGTTGGGTTCCACTAGATTAAATGTTTTACAGATTTACAATCTTACACTTAATCTACCACAAGAACCAAATTCCAGTTCCTGCACTTAACCTCTCACCAAGAACCAAATTCCAGTTCTTGATAACCTCTACAACCAAATTCCAGCTGCAGAGAACCCAGTGCCCAAATTCCAGGCACCAAACAATACCTTTTACCAAGAACCAAATTCCAGTTCTTGACAACCTCTACAACCAAATTCCAGCTGCAGAGAAACCAGTGCCCAAATTCCAAGCACCAAACAGTACAAAAAGAATGTAAAGAAATGAAAAAGAAGAAACTAGAATGCTCAAACCAGTTTATGCAATTCTGCAGTGAGTTTCTTCTTTAAAGAAAAGCAATATGCCTCAAGAAAGATTTTTAAAGAACTTCTCAAAAACTGCCGCGAATCTTTCTTGAAAAGAGTGCTAAAGTTACTTGATTGATTGCTCAAGGATGTGTAAAAACTGATATTCAATGTATGTTTAAAAAGTTCAAGCAACTCTGTTTTTATAGAAGATTTTCAAAACAGCTGTATTAATTAATCTGTTAAAAGATTCTTTTAATCTGTTAAAAGTGCAGTTTTAATCTGTTAAAACTTCTTTTAATCCATTAATACGTTCTTGATTCTTTAACATATTTGTTTTAACTGATACGACAATGTTTATATCAGTTAAAACACTTTACAGAAAATCTTCTAAGTTTATTTAATCGATTGTTTCACGATTCAATCGATTTAAATACTGCAAAACTTTCTTGTAAAATTTTTCAAGTTATTTTAACTGATAAAAATAGGTTTTAATCGATTAAAACTCTGTACATAATTTTTCCAAGTTGTTTAATCGGTTAAAATGTGTTTTAATCGATTGAAAGAGTTCTGATCGGTCATAACTCAATTCTGATCGATCATAACTGATTCTGATCGGTCATAATTGCATTCTGATCGATCATCCTGAACCTTTAAGTGATTTTAATCAATTGAAACGTGTTTTAATCGATTGAAAAAATTCTGATCGCTCATAATTCAAATCTGATCGATCATATCTAATTCTGATCGGTCATATTTGTATTCTGATCGATCATAATGAGTTCTAAATGGATTTAATCGATTAAAATCAAGTTGTATCGATTAAAATACTGTAAAAACACTTCTTTGAACATTCTAAATTATTTTAATCGGTTCTTTCAAAACTATATCAGTTAAAAACATGTTTGAGAAAGCTTTTGTCAAAATACTTTGTTTTTTATTGTTTAAAATGGTTTTAGAGGCATTTTGCAAAGTCATTTAAGTGAAGAAACCTCATGCAACAGAAAAGATAAAATAATTATACCTAAGCATAGCTGCGGACACACTAATCTTTCTACTCTTTTATCTTAGTAACTTTTGTCCACTGCAAAGTTGCTTTTG